CGAAATTGCAGGGCGTATTACATATGAGACGGGGTGGGCCCCAGAGAGAGCCCGTACTTGGTGCAGAACAGAAGAATCTCCACCCTTGAGGGGAATCGAACCTCAGTTCCCTGATCGTCCAGCCCGTAGCCTAGACACTATACTGGCTCACAAAGAAGACCGCAGTATCATTGCGTACTGTAAATAAACTCATCAATTTATAATCGACATCAAGTTCATTCTGGTCAGAGAATGTAATTACGACTCCATATTGTTATCTACATTTTATCCATTAGGCCTTTGGTCACGTAAATCACTAACAGTGAAAACCTCGTTCTGGTACGCATGCGTGACGCTAGCGGTCTTGTCATTTGAAGTTACAATCAGCAAGCTTTCTATTTAGACATTTCTAAGAATTTCTTCTCTGTCGGCAAGTTGATGAGAGATTTGTTAATCATGTGTTGTATAGGTTCACTGCACTCGACACTGTCAATCAATGTCACAGCATGTGGTAAAGGAAGATAAGATGGCGAACAGCTAATGAAGAGGGAAAACAGATTACTGCATTAAGATGACATTATCTTAATCCCGACATGCAACTCATTACGTGCAGTTTTACACGTATTTGCTATGCAGGAAGGAAGCCGTTCAGAATAGGATTCACTGCCGGGCTCTTGTGAAACTCCTGACTCTCTAAAAGGTTGGGGAATCCTTGACCAGCCGAGCAAATAACATTTTCTCAGAAAGGATTTTGCTCTATGGAATTAGCGCAGGAAGTCAAAGTGCTCGAGTCCTTCCACAGCAAATTGTGACTTCTGAGAGCCCATTAAGATTACAGTATAAGAGAATCATATGGTCTTCTCCCATTCGCGTGGTAGCTTAGTTGGTTGAGGGGCTATGCTACAAGCCAGAATGTCGCGGGTTCAAGTCCCGATGAGGTCATTGGATTGTTTTCAGTTGACCTACTCATTCCAACCGCACTATGGCCCTGGGGTAGACTTAGGCTCTAACAGAAATGAGTACCAGGAATTAATTAAATAATTTTCCTGGGGAGTAAAGCGCGGCCGACGCGTAAGGCTGACAACCTTACCGCCATCTTTGAGCCGATTGTCTAGATCAGTGATGGGCAAACTTTTTTAGGAGGGGGCCAAAGAAAAAAAAACTTTAGGCGGGCCAATATAATTTACTAAAAACAATAATGGTAGATTTTACAAAATTCTTGTAATACTAAGCCCTATTAATGATTGAAAGAGTATGAAGGAGAATGTGATGAATGAAACTGTGACTGCATTTCCAAATTTTTCTCATAATCTGGTTCGAACTGGGATGCACTGATTCTCAGAAGTGAAGTTAAATGCTCATCTGTCAGTCTGTTTCTGATACAACTCTTTCGAAGTTTCATTGTAGAAAACACCTGTTCACATATATAGGATGAAGCAAACATAGCAGTGACTTTCTGGGGATGAGATATCAGATTTGGGAAACTGGATTTCGACAAGGACTTGTAGAACTCTAATTTTGGGACACTGAGAAACAACTGCTTGAGTTGAGTGTTACATTGCAACTCAATTAATTCAAGTTGCAAGTCCGGTTTCACCGTTTCACAGTCTACATTAAAAGGCATACTGAAAACATCCAAGTCTTTTTCAATGGCACTGAAGTCTTGAAATCTTCGGTCAAATTCACCACGGAGTCTTCTCAGCCTATCCTCTTAGCTCCTAAGCTTGTCCTTCATCACTGGGGCTATTGAAATTAACCTCGGGAAGTGAGACAAGTCATTCTTAGCTAGCTGATCTGCAAACAGAACAAGTTGTAGTTTAAAACTTCTGATATGGCCCCAGATATCATCAATAAATTGATTTTTTCCTTGCATCTTGACATTCAACTTGTTCAGGTGACAGAGAAGATCTGTGAATTATTTATTTTCCTTAATTCTTCTTCTTTTCATTCGTCAGATTAGGAATCATTTCGCGGGCCGGATAGAACCTATCAGGGGGCCGCGTCTGGCCCGCGGGCCGTAGTTTGCCCACCACTGGTCTAGATAATGTGGGACCCTCAACGTCACACAAACCTATGGGCCTTCACGGCCTCTTACAGGGATAGCTTTACTTTTTTTTCTTATAACTTGGGAGTTCGTTACCTAGGCGACCTTACGACGATGTAAATACTGCGAATATCTGATTTGTTACGTTATACAGGGTCATTCAAAAAGAATGAACCGATTTTATTACGCAATATTTTATTAAAGGAAAGTAATACAAAACTCCAGCCAAGTCACAAGTATTCTACTCACAATCAACTTTTATTTCCTTTCTTACAAGTGTTCAGTGTGGCCACCACCTGCAGCACGGGCAACATCAATGCGATAAGAGAATTCCTCCCAGGCGCGTATCAGCATATCGCGATGCACTGAGTTAATCGCTGTTGTTATTCGATGTTTAAGGTCATCGAGGTTAGTGGGTAGCGGTGGAACATAAATGTGATTTTCAAAATTCAAAATTAAAAAATCAAATTGACGTATGGAAATTAACAAAGATTTTATACATATCTGACAAATATCAGCAAGGGGATTCTGATATATCGGGACTTATTAACAACGGAGAAATGAACAATTAAGATAGCTGGTGTTTTTAAATTTTAAACTATGTGCAGTGTAACAGCTACGTAAGAGTATTCGCCTGATGATGGCCATTTACGGCCGAAACATGTAGTGTAGAAGAAAAGAAGACAAAGAACTACAATAAATTGTTGCACTTAGGACGGAGTTTGTGTCATACATTGCGTAGAGTGTAACAGGATGTTTAAATATAATATTGTACTACAAGGAAGTGCATTGGGTCCACTACTGTTCCTCGCGTACGTACACAGAGAGTTAGAGTAGGAAGGCAATTACCGGAGGAAGTCAGAGTAACGTCAGGAGTACCGCAAGGAAGTGCACTGGGTCCACTACTGTTCCTCGCGTATGTACACAGAGAGTTAGAGTAGGAGGGCAATTACCGGAGGAAGTCAGAGTAACGTCAGGAGTACCGCAAGGAAGTGCACTGGGTCCACTGCTGTTCCTCGCGTACGTAAATGATATTTGGAGAAATATTGATTCAACGTTAGACTTTTCGCAGATGACTGTATAATATATAGAAAAATTATAAATAATGATGATATGGAAAAGTTGCAGATAGATCTGAACAGGCTGGGGGAGTTGGTGGCTGAAAATGCGATGGTAATTAATCCAGCTAAAAGCAAGGCAATTTGTTTCATGAGATCCAGAGTGACAGAACCACTGGGTTATGCGTTACGGGACATAGTAATTCCGGAAGCCAGTAGTTGTAAATATTGTACTTGGGAATAATTTTACGCAGCGATTTAAGTTGGGCTGTTCGAGTTAATTACACGGCGAAAAATAGCCTATAAGGCACTTCATTTTGCACTGCGTATTCTTAGAAAGGTAATAGTAACACTAAAATTTTAGCCTACGCGTCAATAGTGCGTCCGATTCTTGAATATGGGGCGGCGTGCTGGGATCCTTACAGGAAGGGACAATTAAATGAGCTAGACCGGGTCCAAAACATGGCGGCTAAATTTGCACATCATAGAAATGATTCAAATTGGGAAATTTTAACAGAGGGCAGATAGATAGCTCGCATATGTGCTCTCTTCAAAGTGCACGCGGGAGAACGGGCTTGGAAGGCTATAGATGATAGATTACAAAGACAATGCTATCTGAGCAGGGTCCATGATATGAAAATCAGGAGCAGAAAGCAAAAGACAGATATCGGAAAATATTCCTTTGTAAATAGGATCATTGAGCTTTGAAACCACCTACCTGCAGATGCTTTAGGGACTCTCTCCTATAAATCAAGTAATTTTAGGAAAAGGGTTAGGAAAGCTATACATAAGGCTAAGTGAAGGTATAGAAGAAATCATCCGAAAAGGCAGTGAAGTGAAATGGGATAAAGGGAAAGTCATGGTAAAATGTGGGCGTATCAGAACATGACATTACACATTCCAGTGCTATTACTGTTTAGTGTATAGTATACTTATTCTTTTATTAATATTAAATTTGTAGTTGTAATTGTATTTGTTATAGTTGTAAGTGTATTTTCATTGTATTTACTGTGTGCTAGTGTTTCCTTTGTTGTTTGTGTAGTTTTGTGTGCTGTGTTTTGTTTGAGTGTGGTGTGTTGTTTTGTGTGATGTGTGTTATTTGTGTGTTGTGTCTTATTGTAGTACCGCTGCCACCGGGCAAAAACCCATTTGCAGTTTAAATAAATACTCGCTTTGGGTGGGATTCAAACCCATGATCCCAGTGTTTGAGCGAGCGAAGACATTTGATGCCTTAGGCCACGCGGCCACTGTGATCGGCTATTTTGACATTACCTACATTAAATGAATATCCCCAAAACCTGCAAGTAATTATTGGTCACTACTTTTTGAGTTCGAGAGGCCACAGCCTCCAACAGACGCAGCCACGGACAGATACGACCGTAATGAATAAGCAGATTGTATTCAGAGGATTCCAAAAACGTTTATTTCCATTGCAACCGTGAAATAAATTTTTCATATAATTTTATGTATAGAATTTTTATTTGAAATAAAAAAGAACACAAGTTTGACCATGTAGTGTCTAATATTTCTGCAATATCAGTTATCACAAGTGACTCTTTTTTTTTCTAACAACCGAGGGTATGCGCTCCGTCAATGTGCCACAGAAAGTACCGTTCCTTTGATAGAAAATTAATTGTCAAATTAGATAAGTTGAATGAAAAGCCCTCGAGAGATACAGAGAATATTTTCGCCCATTTTTTTCTGCCATCAGACAACGTTTTGCTATTAATTTAATTTGTTGTCATCTTTTAGATAAAGGCTTGTAAATACCATTTATTTTGAAATGATCAAGTTCGTGCACGTTGAACCCATGTCAAACACTCCAAAGGAGTGCAACCCTAGTTAACAACCGTTTGCCTAGACCAGAAAAGCCATTTACAGCCCTGCATCTTATGACATTTCAGCTTTTCGTTTCATATAAGTCTACCGTGAAATGAAGATGAAATGCAGATGAACAACTGTTCCCTTCTACTAAAAAAATTAGCACTTTGCACCACCCACACTCGCCGCAAATATCGTGTCATCATCGACCATCATCGACATCACACATGAACTTCCGTCGCTTTCCTGCCTCTCCTGACCGTTCCTGATGTCATGCAAGTAAACTCATCGGAACCATCGGCATCGGAACGAGGGTGAGGCAAGATGGCGACCGTAATACGGTCGTGTTCGTGTTGTCTGCGCTTTAAATTTAGTCCGGAAGAACTGGAGCAACGATACAAGAGCCAGGAAATTGACAGATTAATAGAGAAGGACAAACAGTCTTTAAGAAGACAAGTGAAATTGTTATTACTTGGTGCCGGTGAAAGTGGAAAATCTACGTTTCTGAAGCAAATGAGGATTATTCATGGTATAAAATTTGAACCAGAGCTTGTAAAAGAGTACCAACATGTGATCTACCAGAACATTGTGAAAGGCATGAAGGTATTGGTGGATGCTAGGGACAAACTTAACATTCCGTGGGAAAACCCAAATAATTCCGAGTATGGTCAATACATCCTTAAGTTTGAAAACAGTATGATGTTGGATGATAGACTTTTCTTGCATTATTCCCCGTCATTACTAAGTCTATGGAAGGATTCTGGTATTAGGAAAGCCTTTGATAGAAGACGAGAATTTCAGTTGGTAAGTTGTGTCTTTTTAAACATGTTTTTCTTTTATGAAGGGAAGTTCACTGACTGCATGTCATGCTAACAGAAATTTACAAAACTGTGTCATGAAGGTAAGGTAAAGGTGAAGCTATCCCTGTAACAGGCCCTGGAGGCCCATGGGTTGTGAGACGTTGAGGATGTCACATTATCTAGACAGTCAACTCACAGATGGCAGTAAGGTTGTCAGCCTTACATGCCGGCCGCCCATTACCCTCCAGGAAGATTCCTGGTACTCATTTCTGTTAGAGACTGAGTCGACCCCAGGGCCATAGTGCGGCTGGAAGGATTAGGTCAATTTAAAAAAAAGAAATCCACCTCATTGGGACTCGAACCCGCCATCTTCTGGCTTGTAGCATAGTGAGGGCAGTGTGGAATTTGTATAATTTAAATTTTTATTGTAGACATGTGTTTTATTAGATTGACAGTGACGTTATTGACAAGGTGATATAAAATGAGATTAATGAAAGATCTAGAGGACTAGAACACCAAACAAGACAATAAAGTTACATGATTTGTGTCATCTTGAAATGTTGATTTATGCAGAGGACTGTAACACTGTAATTCATTTGAGGTCTACTTTGGGGTTTCCCAAAGCACAGTTTCCAGCTTCTACACTTATATTGCAGGAAGGAGAAATGTGACTGTCATGCGAGCACTAGAAAGAAATTCCTAACTTGAAGCACTGAGAAAAGATCTGATAGAGAATAAATGTGACAAAACTCACTGTGCTTTCTTGGGTTTCAGAGCAGCGGTAATGCCATTCGGCATTTAACACATCACATAAATATGTATCAGTAACAATTTTTTTTTATTTCTATTGAACTTGAATTTCTTTCATGTATTTGGATTTTTAGCAGATTAATACAACAGTACACACATGAGACATTTTGGTTGTAAAATTGTATGTGTGGTTACATATGCTAGATGTGTTATATTACGTCCATAGATAATGCTCCTTCCCTCACACTTGAAGGTCAGCCCCTTTTCCAGCTTTCATAGTAGATTTTTTATAGAAATAGTGAAGTATTCAGTATAATGTGATTAAGTATATGTGTTACTGGTGTCCTTTCACTGAGTTACATGGTTATTATCTGAGAGCTTCCTGGAAATTAAACAGCTGACCAGGCAGAAGAGATGCTGCTCATGTTATCTCTTCCCATGTGCATTTGGACCCACATAGAATATAGACTAACAGATCACACAAAATCCATCCATGTGAGACTTGAGGTTGTCATAATGGTACCTGTGGAGATAACTGTTATCTGGGACATAATGTGATGTAGTCTGGTAGTCCACTGAAATGCTGATAAACTTCCACAAGACTCCCCCCCCCAGTGAATACTTGGTGCTTTGATCCAGTTCTTTTTTTCCAATAAGAGCCCTCTGTGTCTAAGTTATGCTGTATTTCAGTGTGTCAGTGTGTGTGAACTATTTGTCCTATGTTCAATTGACACATTTCCCTTATAAATTGAGTAAATGTAAACTATTTTCACTTTACAATGTGTTTTGGCCATTTATGACCATCATCAGGTAAATCATTTTACATTAACATTCTGCTTGCTCTGATGTTATTCCCCTATGTGGGCCAGTGTTTACAGTCTTTAAGGGGTAGGTCACATGTTATTTACAGTGTCAGTACCATCTGTAGTTCATATGCAAGCTTAAAATATATTATATTAAAATTGATATTAATTTTGAATTAAGTTAAAATTATATAAAATTGATTATTGTTGTAAGATTTGAGGCTTTCACGGCGGTGACTATGAAGAAAGCAGTCTTTTGGGATTTGGCACCATGTATAAGTGGTGTTAACCGACGTTTCGGAGGAGCGTATCGCCTCCATCTTCAGGGTAGAAGAAAAAGTATAAGAAATCTGCAAGCGACAAGACCGTGAGAACGGTAAAAGCAGTCTGCTTGCAGATTTCTTATACTTTTTCTTCTACCCTGAAGATGGAGGCGATACGTTCCTCCGAAACGTCGGTTAACACCACTTATACACGGTGCCAAATCCCAAAAGACTGCTTTCTTGATTATTGTTGTTATTATCAATCAAAATTTCTCTTGTTGTATCATGTAAATGTCACTGGCATCCTGGTCACACAAAGCATTTCATATCATGGTATAACTTTGTATGCCAGCACATTTATCTATTATTAATCCCCCCCTCAGGCCATTATGTTGTGCGATCATAGTAGAGTGAGGTCTTCATATGTGTGATCTGAAAAATTTTATCATGCTGGTTAGGATACATGAGCACTATTTTTGTGTGTATTCATTTCTTTGTGTAGTAGTAACTCCATGATTTTAGTCTGCAAGCGAACTATACTGACCGAGCGACTGTCGCTTGTCGGCGAAGTTTAGTGCCAACTTTTGCAGATAGAGGGTGTCGCGTGGTCCGTGTGTAGTAGTAACACTGGTTGCAAATGGTGATGTGTCTTTGATGAGTGATTGTTTGGCACTCTGTGTCAAAATGTATTTATGGTTGGACAGTTTTCTATTTGGAGCTGTAACACCCTGAAATTTGTATCACAGTCTCAGGAGGACTTACTTTTCAGGAACATCATATATGGAACACTTATTTTATTGTGTAGCTCACCTGACATTTTGGCATGTGAAAGTAACATAACCCAGTAATTCTATAAAATAGATGTTGGGCACTTTTTTCCTGTCCCTTATCTGTTGAATTTCTAAATCAGATTGTGTTTGATAAACATGGAAGAATAGTTCTGAACATACTTATACAAACTTTTGTTTTCAATTTAGAATTAATATACATAAAATGTTGTGTAAAAATTTATTTTGTTTTCAGAAGTTCATGATAACATGTTATACGTTACTGTAGTACGATTATGATGAAGTTTCCTATGTCATACTTTTTATCAGTTGAGACAGTTCAGCTTTAAAAGGTTAAAATTATTGTTTTTTATCTCTTTCAGAGTGATTCAGTACAGTACTTTTTCAATGATTTGGAGAGGATAGCAAGAACAGTAAGTAGAAACAGTGTCAGTTACAACAGTTGTACCTGGGATATGAGTCCCTACTAGTAATTTTAGAGGAAACACAAATATCTCTTAATCATATACAGGGTGAATCGTATAGAATTGGCCCGATGAATTTGCTAATAATTCCGTAGGTGATGCATATAACCACTCACAATTACAACATAACAGTCCGTGGGCCGTGCTGAGTCGAATGGTGTGCGCATGATCTGGCAAGTGGCAGCCCTTATGCTGCAAGGTCAAGGACAATCCCAAAACATGTCTGCAGTGCGCAGGCGACAGTCATCGAGTACACTGTTGAACAGCGAGTGTTTCTCGTGCGCACATACTGGGTGACAGGATCAATTGTGAACACACAATTGGAATTCAGGAGGAAGTTTGGAGTTTGCAAGAAGCCAGCGAAATCGACTATACAGTCCTTGGCTCAGAAATTGGAAAGGACAGGGACACTTTTAAGTGAACGTGGTAAAAGCTGCCCAGAAATGCCAGAAGATACGATTGCAATTGTGCAGGACAGGTTACTGCAGTCTTCCAAGAAATCATTATGTCTAAGCCAGGAAACCGGGTATTCTTATTGAACATGTCAACGGGCTGCAAAGAAAGCAAATCTTCGTCCCTACAAGATCACCAGTGTTCAGGAATTGGGTGATGTTGATAAAGATAAATGGGTACGGTACTGTTTATGGTTTCAGGAATTCATGCATGATAACCCCAGATTTTTGGTTATAACTTGGTTTAGTGATGAAGCATGGTTCCACCTATCAGGATATGTAATCGCACAAAATTCCAGGATCTGGGCGTCTGAAAACCCACATGAGATTGCTGAATCACCACTACACCCACAAAAAGTGGGTGTGTGGTGCGCCATTTCTGGTTTACAAATCATTGGACCGATCTTCTTCGACACGACCGTGGACAGCACCTTATACTGCCATATTTTTTACGATTTCATGCAGCAGCTGCATGATGTGGCACTTACACAGGGTTATTTTCAGCAGGATTCAGCGACGTGCCACACATCCAACATGTCCATGGAACTGATTGAGAGCTTCTTCCCCGGTTGTGTCATCTCTATAAAGATGTGGCCCCCAAAATTCCCCGACCTTACCAGCCCAGATTTTTTTCTCTGGAGTTTACTGAAGGACAGGGTGTATGCAAACAAACCGCATACATTACAGGATTTAAAGGACAACATTTCAGCTGAAATCAGGAACATAACTGAAGAAACATTCTAGTGAGTCACGGTGAATATGCAAACACGGGTGGAGGCATGCCTACTTAAAAATGGCGGACACTTTCAACACCTGCTCTGATCACAGCACACAATCCAAGATAAGATATGTGTAAGTTACTTTAATATCTGTATGGTATATTTTATATTACAGCTCATTTCGTCGGGCAGGTTCTATATGACTCACCCTGTGAGGGACCCTGTAGGTCCTACCTATTATTCATGGTATTTTCCCATGATAATGCATATCCAATATCCAGTAATGTTAAAAATCTTGATTAGTTTACTCATATATCAGACAGTGCTATCACATGTAACCACCTATAAATTGTATATTGATTTAAGTGCAGTAATACCTCAATATATGAATTTTCAGTGTAGGAAACTGCAGCTGCATTACCATTACAAGAAACTAAATATGGTATCATTTCACAGTGTATGGTTATTATACCATGATTAAGTTTTTTGATGTAAGCAGTCTGTTATGAAATTACTGACAGTTTATCATCATTGGAACTGATAGTTTGTAAATATTAGGGTTAATTTCACCGACCACACAACATGTTTTTATTATTGTCACACTACATGTTTCGACCTCAAGAGTAGCCATCATGACAAGGAACGTAACAGATCCAGCATCAGAGGATGCGAAAGAGCAATGAGACCTTCAAAAAGTGAAAGTGCAGCCAATATGATAAGTTGAACTTTAATTCATGAACTTTTTAACCAGTGGTAATAATATATGAGGGGGTACCCAAAAGAAACCGAACTTATTTTTTTTTAAACTTATTTATTCAAATTTTAAGCACAAACCTTCAGTCCCCTTCAAAGTACTCTCCACTTACACTAATACACTTGTCTGGTCTTTTATTCCATTTTTCAAAACATTGTCTAAATTCATCTTTTGAGATGCTTGACAGTGCCTCCATCGTTTTTTCCTTTCATTTCTCTTTTCATTCGAGGAAACAAAAAAAAGTCGCACGGGACAAGGTCGGGTGAGTATGGAGGGTGAGGAACAGGGGTCATACCATTTTTGGTCAAGAATTGTCGTACAGACAGGGCTGTGTGAGCAGGGACATTGTCATGATGGAAAAACCAGTCACCCGATTGCCGCAAATCTGGCCACTGAGCTCCAAGTCACTCCCGACAGCTCCACAATTTCTTCAATGGTCCGTCATCAATCTTCAGTGATGATTTCACGAATTTTTTCAACATTTTCATGTGTTTGGGCCGTGGAAGGACGACCAGAATGAGGTTTGTCATCAGTTGGCATTTCACCATTTTTGAAACGGGAAAACCATTCAAACACTTGAGTTTTCCCCATAGCATCGTCCTTGTACGCCGTTTTTAGCATTTCAAGAGTTTCTGTTCCACTTTTCCCAAGCAAAAAGCAGAATTACACCGCCGCACGCTGTTCACGAAAATCAGCCATTGCAAAAACGACGATCACACAAAACAGTTGTCACTATAAACTCTGCCGAAACTAGTCCTTACCTTCTGAAGCAACGGTAGTCGGCTTATCGACTCAGGAATGTTAGCTCTATGCGCTCATAGCGGCAAAACGCGGTACTACAAAAGCTCTGCCCACAAAAAAATTAGTTCNTGGAAAATGAATGTGATTGCGTGTGATTGTGCAAATGTGTTCATACACCTGAGGATGACCTCTTGAGGTCGAAACATGTAGTGTGACAATAATAAAAACATTTTGTGTGGTCAGTGAAATTAACCCTAATATTCATTAAATACACAACAGGATGCAAGAAACAATGAAAGTGATAGTTTGTAAGTTAACTTGGGGTGCTTACTTAATCACAACTTAACCCTTCTTTACTTTTAAGGGTTGAATATGTTCACAGCTCTGGTACTATCTCTTTCACCCACTGCTTTTCATTATGTACTACACAATTGTGATAGGGTAATCTTACCATAGTTAAGATAGTTATTCATATCATTAAAAATGGTTTGGACTAAATGTTTTTATGTCGTACTGATATCTTGCAGCACACATTATGTATAAGTGGATTCCCATTTTATGTTGAGTTTCAAAGGGTTAAAATAATGTACCAGTTACACATTCCATACATATCAAATTATTTCTGTTTTTTAGGACTATGTACCATCCCATCAAGATATTCTTCACGCACGAAAAGCTACAAAGGGAATTACAGAATTTATTATCCCAATCAACAACATCCCTTTTCACTTTGTAGATGTTGGTGGTCAGCGTTCACAGAGACAGAAGTGGTTTCAGTGCTTTGACTGTGTCACTTCAATTCTCTTTCTTGTTTCGTCTTCCGAGTATGACCAAGTGCTACTGGAGGACAGGTTGGTGTAAATTAAAGTTAATTGGCTTTCATTTTGTTAGATTATAGCTCTTAGCTGTCAGAGTAGACTTAAATTGTTGACAGTAGTGTCCTGCAGATTGAGAGACCTGCAGTAGTCATTAAACAATGACAACATGCACTTCGTTATCAGCTATCAGATGATGATAAATATGAAAAGGGGTATCAAACAGTGAAATGTCTTTTATGTACTTTTTTATTGGATGGGGCCTACTTCCATTTTGATGTAGTTGGTAACTCTTTTGTAGATATTTCTCCAAGTATCAAATCCCTGTTTAGCATAATTCTTATATTTAAATAAATAGCCTTTCAATTGTGTGTTTTCAAAGGTCTCCCAATGTACAGAATGGTGGTAATATTGCTGTACCTCAAAATTTGTCATAGTCATCTTCTTGATATGTGAGTAGTTTTGGTGTTGATGGTAAATGGTAAAGTTATCCCTTTGTGTTAAGCACCATGCTATGAGGGTGTGTAGAGGGAGTGGATATAAATCACATTTTTAACTCCAGCACTAGATGAAAATGATCAGATTCATATTGTCACATAATATGGAATGACTATAGAAGGTGCTATCGGAAAGTTCCCAGACTAGGTCAAAAGAGAAATGCTAGCTTAACTTATTCAATTTTGGTGGCTATCTCCTTCAAAATAATCTCCTTGGAAACGTGTACAGTGATCGCATCGGTCCCCCCCCCCACACACACACACACACACACACACACGCTTGAAAAGATAACCATAAGTAGTTTTCCTTAATGCTGTTAACTACCCCATGCGATTCCCTTTGGACGTCAGACACTGTTTCAAAACATTGTCCCTTCAGTTTCATTTTGGGAAACAAGAGCAAATCACAGGGAGCTAAGTCCAGTGAGTAGGGAGGCTGGGGAATGATAACCACGTTGTTATCAGTCACAAACTGTGGTTTTCAGTAACGTGTGAGCGGGCACGTTATTGTGCTGAAGAAGCCAGTTGTGGTTGCACCAAAGTTCCAGTCTTTTTCATTGCACGTTTTCTCACAGGTGTCTCAAAACATCACAGTAGAAGTTACAGTTGACCGTAGTGTTAGGAGGAATAAATTCATGGTGAACAATCCCCTTCATGTCAAAAAATACAGTGAGCATGCTCTATGTTGAACTTCAGACCTGCTCTTGGTAATTGTGGGCTCTTCCACTGCGACGATTGTTGCTTTGTTTCTGGATCATAACCATAAATCCAACTTTTGTTACCTGTTATGATTCTAGTGATAAAAGTTCAGTCCTCGTTACCTTCCTCTAGTGATAAAAGTTCAGTCCTCGTTACCTTCCTCTCATAGCTCAAGACACACATTTACGTACCATTGCTTGTGATCATTTGTCAAGAGTTAGGGAACAAGCTTTGCGGCAATGCAGCGCATGTTCAAATACTGTTAAGATCTCCTGGTAAACTCCATAACTGATCCCAATGGTGTCTGTGAGCTCATGGACATTCTTTGTTGATGAATTTTTTTAAGTTTTTTCAACTTTTTTGTTGTTTTGCTGGTGCTTGGTTGCCCTGAACATTCATCATCTTTAAGTGACACTCAACTAGCCTCAAAACGTGAATGCCATTCAAAAGCTGCTGTCCAGCTCAAAGAATGTTCTCCAAAAGCCTCATGAAGTATTTCAAGGATTTCGGTAGTGAGCTTCACGCAAAACTTGATGCAGACACATTGCTCAATTTTTCCATCCATTGCAGACAAAACAAAACATCAAATCAAAAAGGCACTCATGTGAAAACAGTGCATGTTTACAGCATGGTGTCATGTGGCAGACTGATGCACTAAGCTTCCAGAAGTGTGACCTTGGCCTCCCCTCTTGTCTTCTTTCTCCAAGGCAGGTACAATGATAACAGTCCAGGTACTTTCTGATAGCACCTCATATATAGGGTTTGGATTTGTGGATTAGTTTATTGACCGCTTATACACACAACTCGGAACTACAAGAAATTACACTGCCACCACTGATCTCCACAATTCACAACTCACCACAGTACCTGCTAAGCCTTTTCAAGCCCTCTGTGTCCTCACCAGCCATATCCCTGGCAGTGGCTTTCACATTTGAGATTCTTCAGCTTCACACGCTCAAGTCCTCTCTTCACATATTCCCATACAGAATTTACTATCCAATGATTTTTTTGCTTCGTTATAACGTCTTGTCACAGACCACTTAGAAACACCCCATTTCCATTGTTGTAGTCCAGCTGTTGCATTTTTAAGAATCTGGTGCCTGGCAACAAGAATGTGTTGTGAACAAGAAACAGTTGTTGTATAGAGTCACCGCTTAGCAACGGATCTGTATGCCACAGTACTGTGACCACCTTAGACAAAGAAAAAGAAACCCCTGGTATCTACTAGGTAGGCTGGATGGTCCAGCTTACAGCTTACTTTGCTGACTGAGCTATTCCACCTTATGCCACAGATTTTGAGAGGGATTTCAGAGAAAACTGGTGGAGGGTAACCTGCAGTAGCATAACTTCAATCCTCAGTTTTCATAATTTACATTCCGAATTACTTTCACTTTAATTTTTCTTGTATAATACCTGCTTTTAATTTTTTTAAAGATGAGAGAATTTTAATATTAGTCATTAACATTTTTCACTTCTTGAATACAGTAGTTTGTTCTCTAAACCACTTAAAATCTCTGATGTAAATAATATGTAGCACCCATTTCCATTTATTTTACTTCAGTGTTAGTGGCAATATGTTGGTTCTAATGAGCTTTTATTCCTTTTACAGACGCACAAACCGCTTGGAAGAGTCACAGAACATATTTGATACAATTGTCAATAACCTAGTGTTTCGTGGCGTATCCATCATTTTGTTTTTGAATAAAACAGACCTGCTTGTCCAAAAAATTCACTCAGGTGATATTCGTACATATTTTCCTCAGTTTTCTGGTGACCCACGCAACTTGTCTGATGTTCAGGCATTCATCTTAGGTATGTTCACAAGTGTAAAGCGAGATCCAAGGAAGCCATTATTTCATCATTTTACTACAGCTGTTGATACAGAGAATATCAAGGTGGTGTTCAACGCTGTTAAGGACACTATCCTCCACAGGAACCTTGAGTCACTCATGCTTGAGTGACAGCTTGTTCCGGGTGAGAGCTGCGGTAATGTTAGTTCGCTAGATTCTCCTTTATACCGCAATTCAACAAATTGTTCACATTATTTTGTATTTTATCGATTACCTGATCAGTCATTGGATTGAAAGCTATAATACTGCAGTTATGTGTTAAGTTGTGTCTTATTGTTTTAAGACTTGGATATCTGTATGTGTAATATCTTGGGTTGCATTATTTTATTGTTAATACTCCCAGAAATTTTTCAAAGTCTCTCACTAGTAAAAAGAAACAAAACATTTTGTCATAATAAACAGACCTTTCAGGTTTCATTCTAGGATTTTGCCTTGAGGAGACCCTGCAAATGATGTCACAAGACTGTAATAGGCCACTAGCCCAAAGATGTGGGACACCATTGATGATCTGGATTGTGTTAAAGGATATTTTAAACTGGATTGTAACTTATCTGACTGCAGTTAAAGTTAAAACATAAACTCTGACAACAGGAAAATTGGATACATTTCTTGAGCATATAAAATCTGAAACTTTTCAAATTTTTCCAGCCAATTACACAAATTGTTTTTAATTTATTGATCAGACTAATTCTAAATCAGAAGTTCTAAATGTATACTTTTAGCTTCCTGCAAGTGGGAAAACATATTTACTCAGAAATATTAATTACATGAGTAGTGCATTCTTTGAAAATGTATAGTCATTGAATTGTTAGTTCCACATACTGTGGTACTGACCATATTAATTACACCACTTTTTAATGTACATGGTCACTGATACCACCAAAAACAACACTGAATTTTAAATACTGACATGGGGAGACAACCTCAGGTCACCCCAAGCAATCGGACCACAATTGGGTTCATAAAGAACAAAATTGTAGCAGTTGTAGTACAGTAGTTTTTGCAGTTATTCTTTGCAATAAGTAGAGACAGTGTCACATAACTTTGAACAAGGCCACGCATTCCCTGCGTTCCCGCAACCCACCCCCTTGTCTGAAATTTTTCTTCTGCGCATTCAAGGTTACTCTTGGCGCTCTTGGCCTTGTTCGAAGTTACGTGACACTTGCTATAACCAACACCATGATAAGTATCATCTTTGAGCACTTAGTAAGTATGATGGTCAAGAAATTCTCTCATTTGACAGCTTTAATAACATGTTCACAAAAGCTCACCATTGGACTCTGTCCTGTACCAGCTCATTCCAGTTTGTTTCTCCCCGCGTCCTCAAATTATATTAAAGAATCTATCCACATCTGGGCCACTGCTTCCTAATAGATTATAATATCTTTGAATAAATGTTTGCCCCTCTAGAAATTCCCTTTTAAGGAACTTCAAGGTCCATCACTCACATTACAAAATGTCTACTCACATCCTAGGTATTGTAACAGGCATTACGAGCTTTCTACAACATCTGATCTCCAATCTGTAGTTATCTGGAACTGTTTATTCAGTATATTCATTAGCTCTTTATTCATTACATTCATAGCTGTTTCCCATCCTTGGAAGCTCTCTTCTTTATGTGCAAGCTCAGGATCTGTCATAGCCCAAATATGTTAACATTTAGAAGACAGCTGCATACTACACGTTGCTACATTGTCTTTCAATCAGCATATTCCAAAAAGCTGCAAATCCTATCAGTCCATTTTTTTTTTTAATTGTTTTCTTTTCTGAAACTCTCTTTTTACTCTGTATATTATTTCCATCAGTTTTTATGTAGCATAACTTAGGACCACTCCCAGTACTAGTTCTGTCAGTTTTTATACAGAATGCTATATGATCACCCCAAACTGTTACAAGGAAAGTCCCAGAATGTGATTCTGGCAATTCTGCCATGCTCATAACAAGGTTACATGAAAGGCAAGCTGCAGAGCTCTTAGTTAATGAATAATATAAATCAAATTAAAGTCATAATTTTAAAGCATCTTGCATTGAGATCAATAATTTGGTATTGTAAGTACTGTTGATAATTGATATTGATTGTTTCATTAAGAGTAAAGTGTATAACCTATAATAATATTTTACATATATATACAGAAGATTATTGATGCATGTGAAATCATTACCTTTGAGGCCAATACAGAATGTAAAGCAAATGTGCCTTTTTTATATACTATATTCTAACTGTATTTTAAAATATGAGAAGGAAGACCTAATTACTCCCATCAGGAAAGTAAGTAGTGACAGTAGTAAAGAAAAATTTGTCTTGTATTGTACTTCATTTATCTCAGCCCTTGACCTAGACTAAAGAGTTATATTTGGGTAGGTGGCTTCAATTTCTTTAATTTGAAATAGAATACTGTATTTAATTCCTCTCACTCTTTCTGCTCCCCAGTCATGAAACTGTGGAATTTTTAGATTTATGCTATAGCTCAGAGCCGGACAGTTGTTTTGACTGGTAGGTTATATCACCATCTTCAGTAAATTTTACAGGCAACCTCATCTTTATAGATGTACAGTTATAAATGTTCAATTCATGGTTTCCACTTGTACATAGAAGAAATTAAGGGTGCATAATTAGTATGCGTTAAAACAGTTTAATCTCAACAAACCAAAGGAGTTCAGAAGAAGTATTTGCCTTAATAGTATTGTAACCATAAGACCATAAATTGTAAATTCTCTGTACACTTGAATGTGTTTTGTTACAAACTTAATATGCTGCTACAGATTGGTTTGAAAGTGTTGTTGGGCTGGATGAAGCAAATTGGCAAGCTTTTTCTGCACCTCTGTCATAGCATGGATGTCTAGAAATCTTCACTTGTGATCTGATGATCAGGGAACACAGTGCATAGTACTAGATGTAGTTACACAAGAAATATACTGAGAAGCAGGCTTTCTCTACACCACATCAGACAGTTTACTAGAATAATGCATTTGTCCAACAGCATATTACATGATCTCATGATCCTATGATCTGAGAACACAGTGCATAGTACTAGATGTAGTTACACAAGAAATATACTGAGAAGCAGGCTTTCTGTAGACCACATCAGACAGTTTACTAGAATAACGCTCGTTCACTCATTTCCATCTGTAATGCAATACAGACTGTTCGCAGTCTCTCATTTATTTTAAAATGTCATTAAAATAACATTTAATTGCAACATGTTTCGGCCTTACAAGACCATCTTCACACAATTGTTCACCAACTGAAGCTGCTGGCACTGCACTAGTTTGTATGTTAGTGCATCCCATGCTATTGCATATCATCGTTCACACTAAAATATGGTTGTTTGAGAATGAGTACTCTTACTTCACTCCAGGTTATTTTTATTTTGCAGTGTCTATGTTATGCCCCATTCATGTGTAGTTCACAGCTGATTAATGAGATCTACACATGAAGGGGGCATAACATGGCCATGTATCCCTTGTAATACAATGGATACATGGCTGACTAGTGAGATCTACACACAAAGGGGGCATAACATGGACACCCCAAAATTAAAATAGTATGGAGCAAAGAGAGAGTATTCATGTTCAGAAAAACACATTTTAGTGCAGACAACAATATGCAATAGCAAGGGATGCATTGACTTACAGACTGGTGTAGTGCGGCAGTTTCAACTGGTCAATAATTGCCTGAAGATAGTCTTGTAAGGCTGAAATGTGTTGCACTTAAATGTGATTTTAATGGCATTTTATAATAAAGAGAGACTGTGAACAGTTTGTGTTGCATTAGAGGTGGAAATGGGTGAACAAGTGATACATGAATGCAACAGGATGCTGAAATATAATATTAGATTAAAGCATTTACCTAACAACATACTTCATTATAAATGTAGTAATTTTGCATTTTTATATTCACAGTTCAAGTTTCTTGCATTTTTATTTTTCATGTTACTGTTCACTTTTATATTAGTGATGCAGAAGGTAAAAAATGTTTTGTGATGATGATACAATTTATCTTAAGAAAGTGATGTAAGTTATCCATGTAGTCATGAAACGTCCATTGTGTGCAGATAAAAGTAACTACTAGCTGTTTCTTATATTTCACTCCAGGTCGCCTGGCATATTCACGCACATTCATCAGATCTGATTTCTATAGCAACCAACAATTCTTCAGACATGAAGCAAATTGGCTTAGGCTGTAATGCTTCTGACTTTTACGTGGAAGGTGCCTCGTTTGAATTTCAGCTAGACACTAGCTATCCTAACTGAGAATTTTGTGGTGTTTCTCAGTCCCTGCAGGCAGATGCTGTCAGTGAGGTTCTGCATACTGATTAACTTACCAGGGGCAGCTTGTGCTGATATGTTGAAAAATATGTCTTTGAATGAAGGGTATTTGCATTAAGAATTTATAGACTAGTTAGTGTCTTCAATTGATACAAATGGATATGAAGTGTAGTGGTCCTTCATCCCCTTTCACTGCAGCAAACTACATCTCATGTTTGAAGTTCTCAGCAAAGGCATGAATACCACCCAGTGGTCTAGAATTAAATGATGAAAACCAAGTAATTAGAGTCTTCCTTCTCAGTATCATATAGGATGTTTCTTTTAAAAGTATACAGAAATAACGTTTTATTAATGGTATACTATGGAAACAATGAAATATGTCCTAACTAAATGGAAACTATTTTAATGCTAATTTGCATATATTGCAAGTTTCTTAACACTTAATGCAGTATTATTCGGATGTATTTTTAAAGCAGACTGTGTACTCTAAATCATATTACAGTGTTGGAAGCAAAAGGAGACTTAAACAGCCTGGAAGAGTTAATCTAGAAGACCAGTTAGACAGTTTGATTCTGTATACTTCAGCACATATATAGTTGTATACAGCATGTGACTTCTGGTTTGACAGATCTCTTAGGCTGACTTGACTTCCTGTATTTGTGCACTTGAGCAAATATCAAAATGGCAAATGAAATGAAAATATGAATGTGAGATTTAAGGTTTTCATAGCAGTAACTGTGAAGATTTACTGTCTTCTGGGCTGTAATGCTATGTACTCACATAGATACTCACCGTGTTTTAGAGGAGTCTACTGTCTTCATCTTTAGGCTATGAGAGTGACTTTTCTGCCCTGACGATGGAGGCAGTAAGCTCTTCTGAAACATTTTTTGTTTTCACTTAGTGGGCGGTGGAGTCCAACTGGGTTCACTCGGCATGGCGGCCACTGAGTGGCCTATTGTAGCCTGCCCCGGGTGATTATGATGATGGGGAATTTTGGTGGAATGAAGATTGGCAGGGGAAACCGAAGTAATTAGAGAAAACGTGCCCCAGCACCACTTTGTCCACCACAAATCCCACTTGACCAGACCCGGGATCGAACCCGGACCACCCCGGTGGGAAGCCAGCGACTAACCGCTTGAGCTGTAGCACGGCCTCTTCTGAAACATTGATAAACATCTACAAAAATTACATGGTGTCATATTCCAGAATACAGTAGTCTTCATATATAAATGACTGTTTCTGTGTCTTGGTATAATTAGCGTAATGAACATGATTCTTGTATATGCAGTATGTAAATGTGCATAACATACGGGCCTTTTTCAAATTAACAGACATGGTACTCAGGTCAGATATATTAGGATTTCTTTTATATCAAGGGCCATACTGCCATATCACAACTGCGAAATAAAATCCAATGGTAGCACAGCTTTGTTTGGTGTTTGATACTAAATATTTATATAGTAGCATTTTATGTGTGTTTCAGAAAGTTCCATTTTATATAAACATATATATAATTTTATTATTGTGACAAGTGTTGGTTTGTCTGTTTTGCTGTTTTATTTTTATATATTTTTGTGTAACAGTGAATGTGTTTGAATGAAGTTTATTGAATGAGCGTTGTGTATGGTTTATTATCTCATCTGTTAATGCTCAACAGTTCTGTTTGGAATGGAAGTGAGATATTCAGGACACAGTGCTGATAACTTAGTGTTCCAATGTGGTCAATGAAAAGAAACTCGTACCAAATTTTATAAGATCAAGCTTTTGTCCTGTGGCTCAGCATTGGTGGATATTGTGTTACATTGACAGATATAGTAGATATAATAGTT